TCCTCTCTTCTAGCTATCTGAAGTTACACGATAAATTGTTGCTGACTGTCGTGACCCTGTCTGCTGACAGTGCTACAGACAGGAGGAACTTCTATGAGCAAAGTTAACATTGTTACTAATGGGATTAATTGACAGCACCCGCCCCTTGAAATGACGCTGGAAAGGAGGTCAGCATGGCTTCTGTGGTATTCCTGCCTGATGCCCACGTCAGAATCTAATCAGGAGGCAACACCAGGCAAACCCAAACTGAAAAACATTCTACCAAGTGACTGGCCAGGTGACAAAAGACAGAGAGGCAGAAACTGTTTCACTTTAAAAGAGACTAGAGAGACATGACAGCTTAAATATAACACGTGGTCTTGGGTTGTTTTGTTATAAAAGACATTATCATGAAACCTGAGTGAGGTCTGTCTACTCAATAACCAACATATTCCTTGCTTTTAGGAAGTATGCACTAAAATGTTTAAGGATAAATGGGCACCATGTCTTAGGTGATTCAGAAAAGAGAGAGAGGAACAAAGCGAGCAATCTAGTGATATAGTAAAATATTAATGTTTGGGGGATTTTGAAACATTATTTAAAAATTCTTCACACTATTTTGTGACTTTTCTCTAAGTCTGAAATTATGTCAAAATAATTTTTTTAAAGAAAATATAAAATGTAAAACATCCTCCTGCAAGTTATTCGACACTCTACCCATCAAAAGGTGAAGTGTCATCCCCTCCCCTTGACCATGGGCTGGCCTTAGTGACTTGCTTCCAATGAACAAGCATGGTTCCTGAAGGCTAGGTCATAAAAGGCTACTTGGCATCCACTTGGCTCTCCCTCTCTCCGGGGCATGGGCTTGGGAGCCCTGAGCCACCATGCAGGAAGTCCAGCCACCATGAAGCCACCAAACTGGAAAGACCATGTTGGGGGGACCTCCTAGATGTGGAAATGCCTGGGGAGCCCTTGCTGTTTTAGGGACAGAGGGTATTTTTTTCAGTTGCCATCTCCTGTCTCACCAATAGAACTTCCCCAATCAGAGGACAGGTGGCGAGAGACCACGTTTATTGAGCACCTGCTCTGTGCCAGCCACTGCTCTCGGCCGAGAAGACAGTGGTGGGCAAGACAGAGCAAGTCTCAGCTCTCGTGGCCCCTGGCGTCCAGGACGATGTATAGGAACCTCCAAATCCTCTTAAAATGTGTCAAGCCACAGGGTTCTTTAACACAATAGAAAAGTAAAGGAAAAAGAACAACAAAAACGTAACCTCTGTGTTACATACACTTATTTCATCCGCACCCGGCCCCATGGGGTTTATGCATCCATTGCTCAAATAAAGCTCAAACTCCAGGAGGTGCCCAAATTCAGACAACTAATAAATGGTGGAGCTAAAACTCGATCTCCAGGCTGTGGAGCTTCAAATCCCGGGCAGAGTGGCTTTGTGGGCCTGCAGTCCATTGGCTTCTCAGAGCTTCTCAACTGCCCCACTATGGGCATTTGGGATTGGATGTGGGATCTGTTGTGGGGCTGTCCTGAGCACTGTAGATGTGTAACAGATTCCTTGCCTCTATCCACAAGATGGCAGTAGCACCCTGCACCCAGTCGCAACAACCAGATATGTCTCCAGACATTGGCAACTGTCACCAGTGGGGGCAGGAGGTACAGAATTACCCCCAATTAAGAACTACTGGCCTTAATGTAAACTCTGGTTTCCCCACTTACTTGTCACATGACCTTAGACAAACAACTTATATCCTCTCCATGCCTCAGTGTCCTCATCTATAAAATGGAAAAGTAACAATATGTGAGGTCAATGTGAGGAACAAATAAGAATCCAGGAAAGCAGCTGGCCCATCCACATAAGGTCTCGGTACATGCACTATTTCATCCATGACCTTATGATGCCTTCCCTTCAAACACAAAGCTGTGAATGGAGCAGGTGCATTATGAAGGTCTCCTAACCTACAGATGTAGGAATGAATCAATTAACCAGCTAGTTAACCAGTTAACAGAGAACCGCATGTTCTGATTTGTGCATTAGTGCATTTGCTGAGGGGAATGCCTGGAAGCCCCTCTCAATCATCCAGTTAAGGTTAAAGGCCCCATGGCCAAGTTGCCTGGGTTCAAGTCAAGCTCTGCTACTCATGAGCTGTGTGACCAGGGGCTGGTTATCAAGCCTGCTAATGCCTTTATTTCCTCATCTGTACAATGGGGATAATAAAAGCACCAACCTTGCAAGGTTGCGAGGGTCGAATGAATGAATGTGTGTGTCGTACCCAGCACAGGATGAACCTCCGCAGTGCCTGCTGTGGTTGCCGTTACTATCACCAGCATTGACCCACCATGCTGCTCCTTCACAGCCCTCCAGCCACACTGGCCACCTTTCTCTGCTCCGAGCATGCCAAGCACAATCCCATTCCCAGGCCTTTGCTCTTGCCGTTCCCCCTGCCTGGGTCACTCCTCCTCCTAGATGTCAGCATCGCTCCAACGTTTACTACATCCAGTTCTCTCTTTATCAAACCTCTTCTGAGAGGCTCCCCTCACCACCCTCAATAAAACAGCAGCTTCACCACTCTCCTCACTGTTTTACTTGCCTCACAGCAATGACCGCTGCCTGCTATTATGTATCACAGCCAGTGCAGTACAGGACAACACAGTACACTATAGGACAGTGGGGTTTATCGGCTTGTCTCTCCACCACTAAAATATAAGTTCCAAGGCAACAGAGAATTTGATCGAAGGCTCTATTCCCAGCATCTAAGACAGTGCCTTGCACATAGTAGGTGTAAATAATTATAATGAATGATGAGTGATATTTAAGAGAAGGAAATTCCAAAGCCCTTACATAGTCCATTTTCTGTAACGCAGAACTTATTTAAACTGAAGCCTAGAACAGCGTTTGACACAAAAGATTTTTCTTATAACAACCAGTTCTTTAGAATATAATAGCTGTATTATAGAGACTTCCAGATCAGTTGGATTTACATTTCTCAAACTGTTCCCCATAACTATGAACTGCAGAGAGACAGTAATAGAAATTCCACAAAAGATTCACAAGGTCAAAGACACTGGGAAACAAGTCTGAATTCTCCCACACCTGGGCATTCATAATGCACAGGAAAAGCTCTAAAAAGCCCTGTAGAGAAAAAAGGTATTGAACTTGGGTTTGCTGAATTTATTTCACCATGGAACGTCAACATCTGTACCACGAAGCACAATTTGGTAAATAGCGATCCACAGAAGCAGATAGAAAGTGAAGCCCAGAGAGGTTATCTGACTTCCTCAAGGTCACACAGCCACCTTCTGAATCCTACAGCAGTGTGTTTTTCACTGTCCCTGACGTTGCCCTAACAGTCCAGCTGGCTATCAGCTCACAAAAGGTCAAAAACTGAACATAGACCTCAGATTCCAGTAACAGTTTGATTAAATCATATACAAAAATTAATGTACTGAATAGGATTTGCTTTCAGTCTCACTGTTCCAGAAATATCCAGTTATTCATTCAACAAATATTGATCAAGCACACGTGCCAGGCACTGCACGTTTTGCAGTGAACAAGAAATGGCTGTAGAAAAGACTGACAATAAAATTATCCTTAAAGAGACCAAAATTGATTGAGCTGTCCTTGATAAGATTGCTTCAAAGCTGGGACTTGTAAGAAATTACATATTCACATTTCATTTGCTTACATTAACTGTGTTCACATTCAGATCTAATAGTCATCACACACTCTCAACTGGAGTGGTACTGAAATAAAATGCTCCCTTTCACTGTGCACATTGCACAGAGGAAAATCAAAAAGATTGGAGTTAGTTGGGCTTTTTTGTTGAGCATCTCATCCTACAAATTTTCCTGTTTCAAGTTCATTCAAATTTCATCTCTGGCTTCTGCCTTCCAGTTAAAATGCATTCTCCTATTTGCTACCATCTACAAACAAATAAAAATAAATAAAAAGGCCGATTTAAAAATGGAATCTATTTTTGAAAGCATATAACTCACACATTTTGAAGTCTTTCAGAAAATAATGTTTATCAAAAGTCATGTCATTCTAAAACACACTATAGACTTGAGATGGAGAAAGATCGAGCTATTATTCAAAAGGATGCTTTCAATGAATTGATAACATCTACCTAGGATTCAGGAGAACTGTCTTATGTTATTTAAAAAAATAAGATTCCAAATAAGAAAAATATATATATTAGGGTTGTGGGCTTGAGAAGTCCATATCTGATGCCATGGCATTAAAGCCAGCTTTCAGCACACACTCAAGATCTATGTATCCAATAAAAAGAAATTAGAGAAATGAGGAGCTCTTCAAGGTCCTTTGCCCTGTGTGTTCATTTAAGACCAAATTGACAGCAGAGAAAATAAATGTGCCCTCCCAGACCCAGCGAACATCGATACACTCACGGTTTCGCCAGGAGCATCCTAAAAACCAGTCTGGCAAAGCAAAGATAATCACCCCATAACACATATAATTTGTGTTTATTAGACACCAGAACAAATCAGGAAGAATTCCTCAGCTATAGAAAAGATACCTGCGAGCACAGAAAGCAGAAAATGCATAAGCACAGGACCACGGGAAGCAAGACACAGGGAAGCCACCACCCCAACCCATCACCACACACACACACACACACACACACACACACACACACACACAAAACCTGTTGTTTAATAATCAACCCAAACACAAGTAAGTCACTGGTTTAAAGGAAGAGAAGCGAGGATATTAAGGACCAACTATCACTTTTTAACAAGATGAAACACCATTTTCTTTCTCTAACAGGACCATTGGCCCATCTCTGATAGGCTGGGGTATATTTGACTGAGTTTATTCCAACTGCCTCTGCCAGTTGTTTCAACTACAAATCAATGCGGTGAGGTTTCTAAGCACAGGAGCTACTACAAAAAGACGCAGAAACACATGATAAACTAGGCGGCACTGGAGATGCGTGCGTGTGCTTGCGAATGTCTGTGCAGTTACGTAGATCCACGAGGGTGTTTCTTGTGCACTTTAATGGAACCCATTTGGGGTGAAAGGGGTTATTTTGCCCAATGAAATCTCTCCTTCGCAGTCCAGCTCCCAGACAGACTCGGCAGCAGGGTCACCATCAGGGGACGTCTGAGAGATGCGCGACGTAGGATCCAAAGGGCTCTCCCCCTCCTTGCCCACCCGCTGTCCCCCAGGGGTCGCCGCGCTGGGGATTGTGTGGACGTAGGCAGCTGCGGTCTCCTCGTGGAAGACAGGGTCTTGGTGGTAGGAGACGAGCTCATTGCTGATGTTCACTGTCTCCACTGGGGTCCGGGGGCAGAGGGGGCTGCACCCCAGCAGCTGTGCAAACACCTTCCGGAAGTCGGCATTGAAGGCGTAGATGACGGGGTTGAGGGACGAGTTGGCCCAGCCGAACCAGACGAAGACGTCGAAGGTGGTCTCGCTGACGCACGGGAAGCCGGCCCGAGGGCCCGAGGGGGATCCGCTGCAGAAGGGGACCAGGCAGTTAAGGATGAAGAACGGCAGCCAGCAGCACACGAAGACCCCCACTATCACCGACAGCGTCTGGAGGACCTTGGTCTCCTTCCTGATGGAAAGTCGCAGGCTGGTGGCCGGCTCACAGGCAGCGCGGCCCCGGCAGCTCTGCGCGCGCTCCGCGGCCCGCTCCAGGGAAGAGATCCTGCGGATCTGCAGCCGGGCGATGCGGTAGATGCGCGTGTAGGTCACGAGCATGACGGCCACCGGGATGTAGAAGCTGACGAGGGAGGAGGAGATGGCGTACGTTCGGTTCAGGCTGGAGTCACAGGTCACCGTCACCTCAGGTTCCCCGGCTTCCTCCCAGGGCGTCCCGTTGGCCAGATTGGATGCCAGGTCCACGCCACCCCAGGAGCCCGCCTTGTCCCTGTGCCAGTTGAGCTGGACTGGAATGAAGGAGATGAGGACAGACAAGGTCCAGGCCAGGCCGACCATGACCAAGGCCACGCGCTGGGTCATCTTGCGCTCGTAGCGGAAGGGCCTGGAGATGGCCCAGTAGCGGTCCACGCTGATGACGCACAGGTTCAGGATGGAGGCGGTGGAGCACATGATGTCGAAGGCCACCCAGATGTCGCAGAACGCCCCGAAGGGCCAGTAACCGGCCACCTCGGCAACCGCCTTCCAGGGCATGACCAGCAGCGCCACGAAGAGGTCGGACACGGCCAGAGACACGATAAAGACGTTGGTCATTTTGGCGCGCAGGTGGCGGCTGCGCACGATGGCGGCACACACCAGCACGTTGCCCAGCAACGTCCAGATGATGAGCAGGGTCAGGAGGCCGGCGGTGACCACCCGTGCGGGCCCCGGCGGCGCCGCCCCCGCCGCGCCCCCCAGGGCGCTCCCCTGCGCC